ATATATTCAAATAACCACCATGCAAAGCAAGATATAAAATATTCCTGGCACAGTAGTAGGTTACTGGTGCCCTTTCTCAGTCATTAACTTGCCCGACCACCAGCAGTAGGGCATTCTCTTACTCTCAGTTAGTTTGGTCTGATCTTGAAATTCATATACTAACTATTCTTTTGTGCTCGGCTTCTCTTACACCATGGTTGTGAGACAATCTAGGTTTCTGCATGTAACAGGAATTTCTTCCTAGTTATTACTGTATAGTTTTTCATTGTATGAATGTGCCACAATTTCTTCATCCACTACCCGGCAATGAACATTTAAGGTTTTGCAGTTTTTGCTATTATGAATAAAGCTGCTTTGAACATTCTTATACTTGCCTTTTGTTGACCACATATAGTCCTTTGCATTGGGTATATACCTAAGTGTAATTTCTAGACACAGGTTTGATTTATGTTGAGTTTTGGTAGCTACTGCCAATTTTTTTTCAAAGTGTATCAATTTATAACCTCAGTAGCATTTATAAAAGTTTCTGTTGCTTTCTGTCCTAAATCTTGATGCCAATCTTTTGCAGTTCAGTCATTCTAGTATAGCGATAATCTCATGTGTTAGTTGCATTTTCCTGATGAGTATAGATATTGAATACTTTTCATATATGTTGTTGTTCATTCTTTGTTTTGCTATCTGGGTGCCTTTTATAAACTTCCTGTTTAAGTCTTTTGTCCATTTTTAATTTGGTTACTAGATTTGTCTTATTCATAGCATTTCTTGCTATGTTGAATGGGAGTCCTTACCAGGTTTTTCTATTGCAAACATCTTGCTGTCTGTGGCTTACTTTGTAGTCCTTTAATAGTATCTTCTGATGAAGAGAAATGCCTAATTTTAGTAAAGCCTAATTGGTAGACTGTTTTCTTTATGGTTGGTGCTTTTTGTGTTCTGTTCACTAATCTTATTCTACTTCATGATCCCAAAGACCTTTTTTTTAATTTATTTTTTTATTGATTATGCTGTTACAGTTGTTCTATTCCCCTCCTTCATTCCCCTCCACCCTACCCCCCCATCCCCACCATTACCCCCCCTTTAGTTTATGACCATGTGTCTCAAGTTCTTTAGATTCTATATTTCCCATACTATTCTTGCCCCCCCATCTATTTTCTATCTACTGTCTATGCTACTTATTTTCTGTACTTTCTCTCCCCTTCTCCTCCTCCCACTCCCCTGTTGCTAACCCTCCTTGAGATCTTCATTTCTATGTTTCCACTCCTGATCTAGCTGTCCTTTTAGTTTGCTTTTGTTTTAGGTGTGGTTGTTAATAACTGTGAGTTTGTTGTCCTTTCACTTTCATGTTTCTTTAACTTCTTTTTCTTCGATAAGTCCCTTTAACATTTCATATAATAAGGGCTTGGTGATGATGAACTCCTTGAATTTGGTCTTATCTGAGAAGCACTTTATCTGTCCTTCCATTCTAAATGAAAGTTTTGCTGGATAGAGCAATCTTGGTTGTAGGTCTTTGGACTTCATGACTTGGAATTCCTCTTTCCAGCCCCTTCTTGCCTGGAAGGTCTCTTTTGAGAAATCCGCTGACAGTCCGATGGGGAGTCTTTTGTAGGTGACTGTCCCCTTATCTCTTGCTGCTTCTAACGTTCTCTCCTTCATTTTAATCTTGGCTAATGTAATGAGATGTGCCTTGGTGTGTTCCTTCTTGGGTCCAACTTCTTTGGGACTCTCTGAGCTTCCTGGATTTCCTGGAAGTCTATTTCCTTTGCCAGATTGGGGAAATTCTCCTTTATTATTTGTTCAAATAAGTTTTTCACTGGTGGCTGTTCCTTTCCCCCTTCTGGTACCCCTATAATTTGGATGTTGGAGCGTTTAAAGATGTCCTGGAGGTTCCTAAGACTCTCCTTATTTCTTTGAATTCTTGCTTCCTGACTCTTTTCTGTTTGGCCATTATTTGCTTTCTTCTGGTCCACTCCATTGATTTGAGTCCCAGTTTCCTTTTCATCGCTATTGGTTTCCTGTGCAATTGCATTCATTTCAATTAGTTTCACCTTCATATGTTTGTCTAATTTGTGGCTATAATCAACCAGTTCTGTGAGGATCCTGATGACCAATGTTTTAAACTGTGCGTCTGAGAGTTTTGCTATTTCTTCATTGCTTAGATTTATAGGCTCTGGGGCTTTGAGATTTCTTGAGCCATTTTTGGTCTGTTTGCACCTGTTAAGTCTGAGGAGCGGAGCCTTGGACTCCCAGGTCTCTGGGTTGTGACTCTGTATGTGGAGGCAGGGTCAGAGCGGGGAAATGGCGGCCTCCTCTGTTGTTTCTTGCAGCTGGGTGAGGAGCAGAGCCTTAGGTTGTTCACCGGGGCAGAGCCACTTAGGTCGCTGGATTATGACGCTGTATGTGGAGGCGGGGTCAGAGCGGGGAAATGGCGGAGCCCTCCGCTGTTGCTTGCCTCTGGGGCTGCTGGCTCTTGTCCAATCGCCCACTCCCTCGCTTGTCTATACACACGAATGTGCCACCACAGTCAACCCGCAGCCCTGCTCCCTCGCTGTTTCCCCGCGGTCGCTGGCTGAGTTGCCCACCAGGTCCAGCCCTGCGCCTGGATTCCGCGTGCCTGAGTCTGTCTGACCGAGTTTTCCTGTGCAACCCCGCTCTGCCAGCTGCAGGTTTCTCCCCTCTTACCGGTCAGGCTGAAGAATTTGTTGTTATCAGACTTCCGAAAAGTTCAGTTTTCTGTGTTCTGGCTGTGTTTTCTGTTGCTATTATTTAGTTGTCTCTAAACTTGGTTGTGTGAGGAAGCACAGCGTCTCCACCTATGCCTCCATCTTGGCGGAAGTTCTGTCCTCCTTTTCTGGAGGTCCCAAAGACTTTTGAAATATAGTAATAAAGATAGTTGAAAAACATTAAGAAAGCAACACATGTATAGTTAATTGTTGCCTATGCAGTATTTGTCAGTCTGACGAGTAGTGTGCACGTGCTCACACATACTGCAGGGAGGGGATTTTCTTGTGCATACCACTTTAAATTTTGTTTTCCTGCTAGTTTTAAAGGCTTTTCATCATGCCTACGTGGGACTTCGATAAAAGTAAAGAGAATAATATAACACACTCCCACTACCCATCAACATTGTTCTAAGTCGATCCATCCCCTCATACATCATTTTATTTTCCCATAATTTTTTTCCTGGACAATTTTTTTAGGAAAATCTCAGACATCTTGTTATTTTCTGTAAATATTTTATAAATTTGTAACTTTAAACCTTTTCTTTGGTACAACTGCCGTTGCATTACTACATTCAACAAAATTAACATTAATTTCTTAATATGTACCACCCAGTCCACATTCAAATTTATCTGTTGCAAAGATGTGTTTTTTAGTTGATTGTTGAAATTGAAATCCTAGCAAAGTCCTTCCTTATATTATAATTGGTATTTGAGGTTCTTAAATGTCTTTCACCTGAATGGTTAATAAATTATAACTTTCTGACTTGGTAAAGCTAACACACCGTTGCCATAGGAAGTAGCGTGTAATTTCTCCTTTGTTTCTAGTCTGTGCTTTCCGTAGGTGTAGCAAACACGTGCTGCATCAAGAAAACACTTTGAAATAGACCACCCAGTGAGATTATTTTATTATCATTTATTATGTTTTCCCGAGTCAACTAATTTAGGTGAAATTTGTTTCTTTGGCAAATTTATTTTCTGAGATGTTTTAGATGGGTCCTGAGTAACATGAACAATTTTGTCAAAGTGATATCCATGTACAAACAAATAGTATTTATTTTTCTATAGCTTGGTAGTTCTTGGTTTCGAATGCTTATGTTCAAATTATATTTGACATTCAAACTAGTACAAGTTTATACTGCTGTGATGTCATCATTAAGATTGAGTGTTATCTAAAACAACAAGGATTTTTCTCCTGTTGTATCTTTATAGAACACGGACTCAATCTTTTGTGGTTTAACTCCAGTGTTTATTGTGGTTAAAACCTTCAGAATGTGTGTCCTTCTTTTGTTTATCCGGGTTAGTCATACACCTGCCACATCGTACATGAAGAAAAAGTCCATTCTCATGTCTATTATTTCTGTATCTTTTTACCAATTTTTCATTTAAACTAAAACTTCAGTTATTCTGACAGGACTGCTTAACAGATTTTTTTTTTCAATTTCATATAGAAAAATAAAAAAGTATAGTATTATTTATTTGCTTTTAAACCTATGATTTCCTTCAAATATACTTGTCTTTTAGCCTTCATATTTTATATGGTATTATAAAATATTAAGAGTTAATGACTGTAATTATAACCCTATATTAAGTCATATGAAAAGAGAAAACATGTGGTTGAGAATAATTGTTTTACAGTGGGTTACATGTGACAAATAACTGTCACATATTTTTCATATTTCAACCTCACAGTTGTGGTAAGTAGATAGGCTGGTGCTTTTATCTCTGTTTTATAGATGACTATTGCCTTCTTAGATGTTGAGATTCTTCTCCAAATTATCACCAGTTTCCAGTGCACCTACACCTAGATTTTTTCTCAAAATCCAGTTGTCATTCTATTACTATTGATGGATTTGATATGTTTTTCTTCCCGTAATGCTTAGAATTATGTTTCAGCCTCCCGTTATTTTTTTGGAATTTTCTATGTTCTAGTTTTCAGTTAATTCAGTTGTATGTTTTTCTGTTTTAATCATTGAAACTCTTTCCGAAATGTTTTCCAAACATACTTTCTGAGAACTGAGCTTCTATTATTAATACCAGCTAAGCAAATTACAAGTGAGTCACTTCAAGTAATGAGGGTTCATGTACGTATTGTGTTAGACCACAAAGAGAAAAGAAAGGTACAGAGATTCTCCAGAATCTTTCCTTGCATGCTGGTCATCAAATGTGATTTTTCTTATGTGTGTGGGTTAATATGAATGTTAGTGGCATTTTAAACAAGAGAAGTAAAGCAGCAGATAATATACTTAATTTTAACTGCATTTCATTTTTTTTTAAATTTTCTAGTGGCTTTTCATGGCCTACCACTGAAAATCAAGAAAGAACCCCACAGCCCATGTTCAGAACTCGGCTCTGCCTGCAGTCAAGAGCAGCCCTTTAAATTCAGCTATGGAGAAAAGTGCCTGTACAATGTCAGGTAAAGCAATCACGTATATACAGAGAGGATCACGCTTACAGAAACAAAAAGTCCAGAATCTAACTTAAAATCTCAGGACAAACTTTGTAAGAGTTATATCTTCGCTGTATAGCAAGCTAATTAGGTAATGTGTTTAGAAGAACTCCAGAAACCCATTTACCATTCAATCATACACCTTCTTAATGATTTTAAAGCAACAATTTTCATCCACATTATTGGTTGCCTTTCTACTGAGTGAAGCATCTGGATTTGAAAAGTGGGTCGTACTTGGCCTAAGCAGCTGTTGAAAGTTCTCATTACAATGAATGCATTATGCACTTTAGATAGAGTTTACAGGGGAAAAAAATGAAACATTTGGCATGTCTCAGCAGTACATTAGTTATCTGACAGGCTTTGTAGATGATCTATAAGATGCATTCATGGACGGTCGCAATAAAGTTAGAATTTTATAAGGCTTAGCAGAGGCTATTATCTATTAAAAAGCCAGTTATTCCTTCTGATGATAATAAAGGGTGGAGCAATAGAAGTACATCATTCATTTGTTAGAAAATTTGATAACACATATGTTCATTAAAAACCCTTCTTAGCAAATTGCATTCTGCTACTTTTCATGTTGGACTCTAATTGTATAAGGAAGAAGTTGGCTCTGTATATTGAATATTATTACTCTCAATTACAGTAGAAACTTAGTTCTTAAAAGGAGTTAGTTTGGAAGCTTAAAAAGTGATTACAGATATTTGCCGTTTTATAAGTTATGTTGATTCAAGTTCATAATACATTGTGATCCAAATGGATTTTATATTTTCTCATATTTTTACTACTTAATATAGAGTATAGGACTCAAGAAACTTAGGGCTGTGCAGTCTCTCAGCAGCTGACCAATGCTTGCATATTCTAGTACTAGGTTTTCTTGCAAACTCTCACTTGTTTTTTTATATCTACTTTTCTGGGAGGTCACCAGAGCCTTGAAATTATGGGTTCGTTCAATTAAAACTACAAAGATCTCTTGTCAAAGCTAACGATTAAAGCATACTTGGTTTAGATAAAAAAAAAATTGACCCAAGTTTCATTTTATAGTGTTTTTAGTTTTTATATTTCCTCCTTGAGAGTGTTATGTATTCACAGAATAATTATTTAACATTAAAGAAGGTTTAATCAATGAACCAAATAGATACAGCATTGTCATTGGATTTCAGCATTGATCAGCAGTGTGGCTATAAAGTAACTATTGGTGTATATGGTATAACTAATGTCCATATATTAACAGTAAAGGAATTGTCTAAATATTTTGAGATGTTTTTCTGGGGACCAATAATTCCCACAGTGATAAATGGATAAAATTCTGGATTCTCCTTCTCTATACAAATTATAAAGACAACATTTTATGGAGAAAAAAGGTATTATTTTAGAGCAGAGGATGTATTTTTTCTTTTTACATGGGAATAAATCAAATGAATAACTTCCTAGAAGTATATTCTCATTTAGAAATATTGGTAAAGAAAAGAAGTAGAACCAAACATAATGATCTTCATCAACTGTACTTTAAGGCAAGAGTAGACTTATGCAGCATATACTCCTTCACTTCTGCCTTTTTACATTGGATGTAATATAGATGGAGCAACGGAAGAAATTATTACATGAGTCAATGCAAAAAGAATTTTTCATTTTTTAAAGGAAAAAATAGATATTGATGAACTCTTTTTATTTTGTAAAGAAATACAATATTTTAACCTAGAAATGGCATTTTTATTTGTGAATTTTTAAGTAACATTTGGTTTTTGTAAAATATTTTTTAGATCACAAAGATTAGTTAGAGCACATTCTCGAAAGTTATACATAGGGAGTCACCTGAGATTCATGAAGAAGCTCACTCGTTTATTCCTCTGTGAGTGTTCACAAGTTAGTACAAGTTAGTCTATGATGATAGGATTTTGTTCTTAAGAAAATTAATTTGTACTTATGCTCCAAGAAAGTTCAAATATATCAGAGAGATATTAATCTGCCTCATTAATCTTTATTATCCTATGTGGGGAAGTTAATGCCAAGTGCCATTTATTATATATGTAAAATGAAAATACAGCAAAAGCATTGCCTTCTTAAAATTCTACCACTAATAAAGTCAAGCCAGGTATCATCTCCATCATATTATACTGATATTCTAGTTCTAAAGTCTAATGTAATATGAATTATAATATGAGAAAACTTAATGACGTAGAAAAGATTTCTGAAACTTGCTCAAGGAGACATATGAAGGATAGATGGAAGCAATGCCACCGCTTTCATAGACAGTGCTAAGTGATCCTAAGTTGTTTGTATCTTTTAAGGGGAAAAAATGGGAGGGATTTAGAGGAACAAGTATAAAGGACACAGGGTCAATAACTAAGGGGGGTGGAAATGGGAGGGAGGCGAGGTGCATGAGGCAGTGTGGTCTGGGATGGGAGAAATAAACAGAAAACTGTACTTGACAAATAACTAAATTAAAATAAAATAAAAAGAAAAGAAAAAAATATATATGTTTTATATATATGCTGTTACCAATTTACTAATTTTATTCTATTTCTCTTTAAGTGCCTGGCATTTTTGAAGATTACATGTTCTAGAATTCCAGACACCAAAGACATAAAATTCTAACTTCCTTATGACTGAAGCCTAAATTTTTTTTTTGCTTCCTTGGGTTGAAATATTCTTTTCATTGCTACAAAGAAACAAATTCTCTCTCTTTCTTGTTCCTTGGGCAGTGCCTATGATCAGAAGCCGCAAGTGGGAATGAGGCCCTCCAACCCCCCAAGCCCTCCCAGCACCCCCGTGTCCCCACTGCATCATGGGTCTCCGAACGCAACTCACACTCCGAAACCCGACCACGCCTTCCCAGCTCACCTCCCCCCATCACAGCCCATGCAAGACAGCAGATACCCCATGGACCACAGGTGTGCTGCAAATGCTGTGTTTTGTTTAAAAAAAAGTTTTACTCTTAGAAGAAAGTCTATTACCAATTCCTAAGACCTATAGTAGATTTAAGGTGAGCACATTAATTTTGCACATCTGGGCAAAATATTTTTAGAAAGAACTTGCTCTATCTGCAGTTACAAACTATGGAGAAGGTCATTTATAAATGGTCATTTTATAAACATTTAAATTTCTTGCTAAAGTGGGAAATTAATCTATATACTGACATTTGAACATTTTTCTTTCACTTTGCTTGAATTAAATTGCTTCACTTACACTTCGAATCAGATCATCCTGTTTTTTATGAGCATATGTGTGTACTTGTTCTATGAAGTTAGAAGACTAATTTTAGTAGGTGGCTTATGGAATCAGGTTTTTTACCTTAGAGTGAATGGCGTAGCTCTACACAGTTTTGCAGAATAGAACATATTTGATTAAATCCATTTTCCATCCTTTCCATGTGATGAATATTTAATGTCAGTAGATGCATGACCCCGGACATAAGAATATAAAGTTAAAAGAGATAGAAACCAAATTAGTATTACTTAGAAAGAACCAAGGCAACAGCCAGAGCATGGAGCTAGGAGGGATGCTGTGGTGAGTAATTCTTGATTCCTAGAGATGAGTAATTTACTTTTAAATAAAATATTGGGATGCTTTTAGAGGTCTTAATTATCTGACTTAACACACAGGTTGATTATATATGGCCTTCTTCCTTCCCCTCTGTCTTGTACTTACATAGAGCCAGTGGTGTGCTGGTAAATGTCGAACAGAAGGCTCTATGGGTTAGTAAGTCCAGAAGACCCGATCTGTATGCCTCTGAGGAGTCCGTGATATAAACATTCCCCCCATGGCTATGATTTCAGGCTATTAGCATGGCAGTCTTGAATGTGGAATTGGAAAGAGATGTGCAGTCACCCTAAATTCTATAGTATCTTCTACCATATAGAAAACCATATGGTAGTATTTTCTATTATATAGATACTATAGTCATAACCTCAAGAGCATAATAAATGGCATAGAATAATAATGTATAGGTATAGTATAATAATGTATGGTGTAGTATATATATAGTATAGTATATGTATAGTATAGTATATACTATATAGCATATACTATAATAAGGTATAGTATAGTAAGAGAAACCTATGAGTTTTGAGTAGTAGTAGCCTTTGTTCTTAATACAACTTTTTAAAATGACAACTTTACATAATTTACTTCTTAATGGCTGTCTTTAACAATGGACTCACAGAACTTCTGAAAATTAACCCCAAAACTAGAACAAACTGGCTCTGACAAACCATTATAAAAACAACTCAGCCAAAGGCATTGTCTCGAGCAGCAGAGGGAACCAGAAGCGGGGCCACTGGCAACTTGCTGGAGATAGGGGATAACCTACTTTTTGTAGGTTTATTTAATGCAATTTCATTAATCGCAAATTTGGTCAAATGGTTTTGGGGTGCAGGGGTAAGACGAAGGCATCCTTTCCAGCGTGGAACCTAAGCTGTATCATTTCTACCTTTGTTTCCATCACCAAGTCCTCCTTCCCTCCTCACCGATGGACTTGGGACCTTGTCCGCGTGCAGTGGTATGCACATCTGTGTAAACAGTTTCATAAACACAGATGAAAGAAATCTCATTGCAGGGTGGGCCATTGGAACACATTCACATTGTGCAGGGCTAGAAGGGGGAAAGAGTGAGAAGAAGCAAGTTTTATTTTGCCCACTTCTGGTGATTTCCCAGAGTTCTTGACACCTGAATCTCTTGCTTGCCAATGAGTGCCAGAATTCTAGATTGTAGAGTTGGCTCTTTGTGCAGAATCGTTATTTCTTCTGGAAGGTGACTGGGCAACAAGCAGCGTGCCTGCTTTTAGGTTACCTAACTTGAAATGCTGTGGCCAAATCCATTTTAGTTTCTCTACTTGAAGTCAAATATCTGAGACTGAGAACAGCCGGTCCGGAACTGTAAGAGGGAAGCTCAGGGTCTTTTCCCATTGCCTCCCCATTGTGTTTTGAGGACAGTACCAGCTGGCCATTCCCAGGAAAATCTCTGAGGCCTTATGTTTCTGAGGAGGATTTCTTGGAGGGCTCTAGCCAACAAATGACAGTCCCTCAGTTATAAATGGCAAATTTGCTCTGGGAACAGATCCTTTCCCCAAATAGCCCCCTCTGGCCTGGACACCCCACCTCACTCTGGGAAGGCGTGTGGCCAACCGGGCTGCACCCTGCCTTCCTTTCCTGAGGCTCATTCTGCTCCGCAGGCCAGCCCTTTGGCACTCGTTTCTGCACCCTTGGTAAGGGAGCCCAGTCTCTTTTTGTCAACGTTTCCCCACCCCCCCTAGGCTGTTTTTTTTTTCTTATCCAGGAGTTCATCAGCATCCTTCCCTATCAACGCTCTCCAGGAGCTTCTTGAGTCACTTTCTCTTTGCAGTAGGGCAGCAGCTCATAAGAATGGCACCAAAAACTGGTAGCTTCCTGTGAAGTGCATGTGTTTAATATCCATCGTGGTCCTCAGAAAGGACCAATTGGAATCGGGTTGATTCCTAAAAACAAACAGCTTGATTCCTTACCAAGATTTTATTGCGAGTACTATTAACCCCCTTTTAAGGCTTCACGAGTGAGCTGGTTTCTTATTTTAACTTCAAGTTAAATTTTCCGATTCGCTCCTTGACAGCTCTTAATGATAATTCCTGTTTCTTTTTTTGGCTAATGAACTATGCAAGGGAAGGGGAATGAATGCAGTGCCAGGCAGCTTCGCTGTTTTCACAGCATTGGAGTTTCTTCAGTTTATTGTCTGCAGGTGTAGGTGGAACTCCAGTAGTTTCCGGGGCAGCCAGTGAGGGTAGGGTTAAATCACTGGGTGGAGTGTTCTCAGAAAATGCTAAAGCAGCTACTTTACAGTTCTTTCGCTTTTACCTTATTTTCATTTAATGTTACCAAAATTAAATGTTAACTTTCCAAATTAACGTCTCTGGAATGCTTTTAGTGGGGTGAGGGGGTTGGGGAAGAAGGGAGTTAATAGGCTTCTATTTGCTCATAGTAATGTTGAACAGGTTATTTTTAAGCACTCCTGGGCATTTTTAGAGCACTTTTAAATCTTTAATTAATCCACATCTTTGTGGTGGGTCAATGATATTATAGATGAGAAACACAGAATGGAACGATTTGGTGATTAGCCAATCGTTACAGGGCATAACTAAGGAGGAAGGAGCAGAGGCTCACTCTCAACCTTCTGCTCAGAAGGCCTCAGACCTTCCTTGTAACCTAATAGCTCAACCTGTCCTAAATATGCAAGACGCCATGTTATTTCCTTCTGTGGAACTCTGCTGCACCTTTCATGCTTATTTTTATCAACCTAAGATTTCATATGAAGCTATTGGAAACCAATGTGTTGTATGTTACTACTGGACAGTAAAGAGATGATCTTTTAAAAACCAGCTTGGATGAGTCTCTATATTTGCTAATTTTATTTATCACTAAAATAGAATGTTATTTAGGACGTTGTTGTAGATTTAAGAGCCCTGCCCGTTCTTCTCTTGCTTCTTCAGTAACTTTTGGGTAGGGTTTTTTTGTTGTTTGTTTGTTTGTTGTAGATTAGTTTGGTGCAGAAATGAAAGATAGAGAATGTAGTCTGAGATCAGATGCTTTCATTTTTTTCTAGTATATAATTATTCAAGACCCTCTTAATATGGACATTTGGAAAATGATCCAACTGATTTTAAATTGTGCACTTTTACTGTAACATTTCCTCAAAATATTGTATCATTCTCCTAGCCCTCCTCAAAGCACACCTTTATCTTACTGTATTGTATCAAAATGATGCTGTAAGGGACTAATTGGAAGGGGATTACCTGCCACATTATGATTAAAAAGCACAGTGCTACTGACCCAGGAAGGAGAAATCTAGCCTTTGTTATAGATTTACAGTTTGAGTCAGTTGGGTTATCATATTGATTAAACAGTTAAAAATTGCACCAGTATTTCAAAGAGTATTTATTGTTTTATCTGAAATATGTTCTCTTACTTCCTAGATTTCGCCGCCAGCTTTCTGAACCCTGTAACTCCTTTCCTCCTTTGCCTACAATGCCAAGGGAAGGACGTCCCATGTACCAACGGCAGATGTCTGAGCCCAACATCCCCTTCCCACCTCAAGGCTTTAAGCAGGAGTACCATGACCCAGTGTATGAACACAGCACCATGGTTGGTGGTGCGCCCAGTCAGAGCTTCCCCCCTCCTCTGATGATTAAACAGGAACCCAGAGACTTTGCATATGATTCAGGTAGGCCCGTGTTTTAAGTTATATTTAAGAAGTCTTTTCACTGGCTTGTCACTTTGATTAGTGGTGGCATCAGACCTGGTGGCTCCTGACATTTTTGTTTTGGTAGAATCTTTCTGATATTATCCCTTCATTGAATCTTTCTGTGTATGTGAAGGGTGGGGTGTTTTGTCATGAGCTGATGGTTAAAATAGTGTCTAGATATGGAGCCAGTCCAAAGAAGGCTGCAATCTGTAATATTAGACACACTCTGAGCCCGAAAGTGTAAGTAACCTTGTCATTCTTTCCTGAATTCTGGGCTATTTTTTTCTATTTTCTACTATGGCACTATTTAATAAGTATTTACAGAAAGTAATGTTCCTTTGTCCTGGGTCACTTATTGCTTATAACTGTTTGGTTTTTTTTTCATTGTCCGTGGCAAGATTCCAAGAATCCAGAATTAAAGATTTTTACTCACTAGGAGCGGAATACAAAACTACAGATTTATGGTTTAATCATAGAGTTAAGCTTCAGTGTCACTGAAGCAGAAAGGCCTCACAGAGTAGTATATCAAGATAGAGAAGGGATTTTCCTAAAAGTAAGGAGCATTTAAATCTTTTGCAGATGTTACCACCAAATTTGACCTTCAGACCTTAGAAGAATTACTTAACTCATTTGTGCTTGTTTTCTCCTGTTATAATCTCAAAATCAGGACATCTGCTTTTCAGACATCTCAGGAAAAAAATTTTAAGAATAAAATCAAAGCTAATGCTTATACAATGGGCATCATGTATTTGCAAAATATTATTAACATGGTACCTGGGGTCAGTATATGGTTGTGGACTTGGAAATGTTTTAAAACAATGCAATTTCCTTTTGTTTGGTTGCAAAGTTGTCTATGTTCCTTATGAAGGAACTGTTACTTCCCTAGGAATAACTGCTGAGTTTTCCTATCAGTTCTTCTTGAGGAAAGAAACTCGTCTCTGGGTCTTGAGTTTCCAACCTGCTTAAATCTGCTCGCTTTGTTATAAACTGCCCTTAAAAGTGTGACAAGAGGGAGCCCAATGCTGAGAGCTCCCTCCGGCCTCTGGCCTCTGGCCGTGCTTCCTCACTGGGCAAGAAATTCAAAAGAAGAACTGCCCACTCTGCGACCCTTGAATTCTCTGCCCATCCTGCCCTGCCAGGTCCAGGTCTCTTAAGGCAGAGCACACTGCTCCTGTGTGTGTACCCCTGGACTAAGGAGGTAGCCAAGGGGTATCTGCCTTGCAGCCTTTCAAGGCCAGACAGACTCACACGGGATTCGGGCAGATGGAAGAAAATTTGTGGAGCCATCGGGATGTGTGACAGGCCTTTATTCTGGGGTGGGGCTGTCCACACACCGCTTGTGTTGCCCCACCTGTCCCTGTGGGAAAGTCCTGACTCCCTTATATACTAAGTGCACGCAAAGCTGGCAGGGTGACAATACTGACCTTCGGTTTATATGACAGCGCTTCATTCTACGCATGCGGGCCCTTTCTCAAAGCCTTGTAAACACTGCCAAGCGTTTCCGGTGAGGGAGCCCAGCTGACTTCATTTTCCCTGCAGCATGTTTGTAGGAGGATGAGGATGGAGCTTGGGGTGCAGCTCACATGTATGCTTACAGGCGAGGTCCCATGGTGTTTGATACACAATGTGGGCTTGAGGGCTAGGAAGAGAGGCAAGAAGTGGGCTGGGCTGGGATTTGAAATCTTGGAAGCCCACTCCACACCATCTTATTCCAGGGCTAATCTTAGAAATTTCTCAAGTTCTAGATTTGACCTGTTTCTTCAGGTTGTTATGGTAATGAAAAAATATATATATATTAAATGGTAGGAGAGAACATACTTTATTTTTATGTGCCCTTTTTCTTTTTTGCTCAGTCCCTCCACTCCTTTCCTTCCTTCTTCACCCTTAGCTTTCATCTTGCTATCTATAAGTCTGTCTGTATTTCGCTTGTTAGTTCAGTTTGTTCATTAAATCCCACATATGAGTGAAATCATGTGGAATTTGTCTTTCCCTGACTTTTTTTATTTCACTTAGCGTAATGTTCTCCAGGTCCACCCATACTGGTGTAAAGGGTAAAACTAACTTTTTTTTTCATAGCTGAGTAGTATTCCATTGTGTAAATGCCCCATAGTTGTTTTATCTATTCATCTACTCAGTACCTAATGTAAACCTAATGTAATTCAGTACTGCTTTCATTCATATGTAATGTGGTGTTGAGGAAGTGGGATGTTTCTTGACAAGACTCAAACCAAACAAGGAAGCAATTTAAATAACCCAGTGAGGGCAAAAATGCAAGCTGGTGCTATGAAATTTAATTGCATTCTTTGTGGGCCATAAATAATATGAACTTCAGAGTCAGAAACTCTCTGACCCCCCAAATCACAGATTTAGTCACTTAAGCCTAAAAAAGCACAGTCCATGTCTTAGCTCAGGCTATTACACTAAAATACCACTGACAGAGACCATGGACTGGACATCTGTTTCCAGCAGTTCTGCAGGCCAGTGAGTCCAAGGTCAAGGTGCTAGCAGATTCAGTTCCCGGTGAAGCCCCTCTTCCTGGCTTGCAGATGGACACTTTCTCATTGTGTCCTCACATGGAAGAGAGAGGTCTTGAGTGATTCTGGTCTCTCTCTTCTTGTAAGGACACTACTTGCACCATGGGTGTCCCACCCTCATGAGCTAATCTAACCCTAATTACTGGCAAAGGCTACACCTCAAAACACAGTCACATTAGGCAGTGTGGCTTCCACAATGAATTTTGGAGGACACAATCACACAGTCCATAACAGTCCAGTATCCTATTTTAAAGATATATAATCTCATCTCTTGTAAGTGTAACATAGTCCTTGTAAATGGCATGCACAATATTTGTTTAATATTTGAGTAGCAGTTAATTTATGTTACTTTGTACCCTCTAAAATGCATTTCAAATAGCTAAAGTTGTACAATGCCTTTGATTTATTTAAGTATTGCCAGTAGGACACAGTTCTGTTTTGATTTAATAGCTGACTAGCAAAGATGTATTTTCTGGATGTTGTCTAAAAGAACTACAGCAACAGTGTAACCAGGGCCCATGAAAAATTAATCAGTGAATATCAATGTATTTTACTGGCCACTAAATTGCTGCAACTAAGTCGACACATCTGTATATGTCATATATTGTGGTCAATAAGTACGGTCTTCAGATATTGTGCTTTGTTGTCATTGGTTCTTTCATCCTTGCTGAGAGCACATTACATGACCCTTATTGGGAATCTAACATATTTATCACTGAATCATTGATTTCTTGATTCACTTATTGATGTTGAACAAATCGCACATTAGAGAATATTTTATGTGATTAAAAACAATGTAAAAATGTTTCAAGTCGGTTTACTCAGCATCTGTGATCAAAGGCTGTCCTTTCAGGAGGCCTCTAGAACTCTTCATTGCTTAATCAGTACAACATAAATGTTGTGAAAATAAAAGAAGCTTCATAAGTGAAAAGGCTGCATGATTATACTTCTAATAAAGCCTGACATTAATTATGACATGGGAAATGGAAGGTCTATTAGTTGTAATTATAATTACAGGAATGCAATTTTAACTGCAGAATATTTAAGCTAAAAATGCAAAATATTAATAGAGTAGAAGTTTTATTCAGGAAAAAAGAGAAAAACTCAGATTAAAAGATACTGAGATACAGAGATAAATTGATATTAGGGCCAGTTGGTGAACCAGTACAATGTAATTATGATTATATTTATTAAATTCTAAATAGTTTGATTATATGTTTTATTGTTTTCCTTCCATTAATCTCTAGCCTAATCATGCTGCACAGAGCAATATACGTTTATTGTTGGTTGGCTGTTTTTTCCTGAATCCTATGTACGTGATTTTTCTTTCTTCCTTGAAGGCCAGCTGACTACTTAAAAGGGGTCGAATATGTGTTGAGCACTTCATTTGGAGTGACCTAACAGTGTCTGTTTTCATAGAATCATAGTTACGTTTCCATTTTCATGCCTGCCTATAAGTTTTTGCCAGTTCAGAATGCCCAGTGAGGCAGCTGTTCTAGATATTGATCACATTTTGTTAGAGTTGGGTTAGTTGATTGGTTGTTTTTTGTGTTTATTTTTATTCTTTTGTTAGGTTGGGGAAGTATTTGTAAAGGGTGGCACAGTGGGCAAATGAAACTGAAGTTTCATGACTTGGAGGCATCTTCTGAATTAATTAGGGTAATAACCCAAGAGCAGGGATGAAGACTGGGAAGAACTTTCAGGGACAGGGAGAAGGTCGCTGAAATGAGAAAACTGGGGGAAGTGCACAGCTTGAGCTTCCATTGTGGGGGAGGAGGAAGAAGGAGCAGGGATGGGGAAAATGGACATGTTTCCAGAAGAAAATGTTTCTGTATTTTTGAAGTGTGTTTATGAGGCCACTCCTGTTGGTACTGATGAGGAGTCCTTTTATTCTAAGGACACATACCACTTATGTGGTGGCACATGTTGTTAGCACTATTTTACACTGGGAGATTGATGCAAACTGTTGTTTCACAGAAATGCTAACTTTTAAACTCACGAACTCTTGGAGGTTACCTAGTTTATGTACCTTCTCCTTGTCCCTGTTGAACAGATACTATGTCACAGGCTCCTCCGAGTTAACTTAGCATCGGTTGCACAGCCATGGAACAGCCCAACCCAGAACCACAGTTTTCTTATTCTTAGTTTAGTGTGCTGTTCACCATCTCTCTTTCTGTGTAATTGGCCAAAATAAAGCACTTTAATCCATAATCAGTTACATATGTTATTGATCCTTTTCTCTAATTTTTGGATCAAATATTTTTCTGTGGTTTTGAAAAGCTCTACATTATCCAGGGCAATTAAAAGTATCTGTAGCATGACCAATGGTACCCTTCTCCTAGTCTGCATGTGCGTTTCACATTCCATAGCACTCACAGACATCAAATGATGTTTAGACTTAAAATACATTATATATATTTTAAAATATATACACCATATACAAGA